TTCAAACTGAGATGTTTCCAGCACACTATTCTTGAGTTAAAGTCCTAATGGTATTGCAATGACTGGAGCCTTTTCCAGATGTAGGGTCAAATGTCAGTCTTAATTCTAGACTAACTTGATTTACAAAGAAATGATAAACCTCACTGGCATCGCTATTAAAACGGTAATATTCACAATATTATGCTACCAGCCAAATTAAAATTAATTAGATCATATCAATTCCATGATTCTGTAAAATTTCAGGGAATAGTTATTCCCTGATAATCTCATCCTGACCAATGCTTAACTGTAAACGCCAAAAATTATCAATGACTATGGAAATTTTACCTGCCAATACTCCCAGCCCCTCAGTTAACCTCTTATATTTTCATCATACACATTTCCTTCCTTTTCTGATGTTTTTATTTTCTATTACTGCTCTAGTTTTCAGACAAGGAATGAATAAGCTCTTCCTTTTGCGATATCTCTAAAAATGGACAAAATTCAACAATAAAAAAAATAAAATAAATAAAAATATGTTAACATTTTCAAAAGGCAATATTGTCGTGATTTTACCAGGAATTTGAAAGCTTTCCTTGCCTTTTCCAGGCCCAGCAGAAGGGTGTGGGACCCCGACCACAGCTATGTGGGCGTCGTCCAGGAAGATGGCCGACGCCGCTTCCAGCAGCTCCTCCCCCACAGGGAGACTCAGCAGCTGATCACGAGGCAGCGGAACAACCTGAGCTCCATCATCAGTCGCCGAGCCCCGAACAGACACCAAACTCTGGTACACGTGGCCGTTAGGATCTGAAAGCAAGGAAAATATGGAAGCAGAACAAGTTGTCTTAATGGTTAGCATTAGCATCTGCTAATTCTTTTATGGTTTTGGCGGTTCAGCATTAGCTTCTACAAAAAAATTGTATATGTTTAGCATTAGCTTACGCAAATTATTTTATTTGTTTAGTAGTGGAAAGTGAGATCATGCTAATTTCTTTAGCTGTTTAGTGTTAGCATAGCTAGGATTCTTGTTTAGCAAACTAGTGGTTAGTGAACTTAACTTTCTGTGTCCGACACTGTCAATAACAACAGCCAATTTTAGTGCAAACATCTATTCTCTATTGCGACCATGGTGGCCATCTTCCAAAATGTCCGACAGAATGATTTCTGTGGTTCAAAATATGTTGGCCATGATTTGACACCAAACATATTCACCTAATTGGCCAACTTTAGTGCAACCACGGTGTCCATCGAGAAAAAAAAATCTAAACATTATCAGTAAACATCATGTCTCTGAGTTTAGTTATGTATAATCTGACACAAAAAGTATTCATTTGTAATGAGTAATTGAGCAAAAATTTATTTCTCGCCATTTTGAATTTTTCAGTGGATAAAGTTTTTTTTTTCCAAAACAAATAAACAAGTAAACCTTGTCAATTCTATGACAGGTTGTTGTATCCGCATGTGAAAGATTTTGCTGAAATATTCAGTTATCTGCTGCCTTACATTGTTGATATTCTTGTTTAACAAATGACACTCATTTGGCTGCATTTCAATCTCATTTCCAAAAGTAGATGAAAAAACTAAACAGTGACATCAAAACGTGTCAAAATAAAAACAACAGCATATTCAGTTGGGTCTCCAAACTTTCTTAACATGACTGCCCAGTACCCGATGTTGAGGGCGATGTATGTCAACAGTTTAATCGAGGAGCTAATGTGTGCTGTCAAACAAGCGGCTCGTTATAGGACATGAAGACTTACAGAGATAAAGCAGGCAGATGTTTTTATCCCTGTAGGAGGCCCAGAAGCTGAGCGGGGAGAGGCCAGGCTCCTCTGGCTCCAGCCGGTACTTCTGGACAGAGTTGGGCTTCAGCCTCTGCAGGTAGAGGAAATGATCTCCTTTCTGTGGACAAACATGGAAAATCCTACAATGAAAAACAATAAACATCAAAAAGTATTCACATCCCTTGAGACTATCTATTTTTGTCAAATTACAAGCGTTTTTATCAGGATTTTGCGTGTTTGTTTTTGCGAGGCATTGCATAGGAGTGCAATGTGAATGTTCACAGAGAAGTCGGGGAGGAGGGAAATCGCTGTGCAGGACGACAGTCCTTAAACAATCTTTACCAGTTCAGTTGTGAAGATGATCAGCTGTTGTGTTTCTGTCACTATGTTGGTGCTCCACCTACCAACAGAAAGAGAGATTGCTTTTAGAAAGGCAAAATTTAATAGGTAGATGTGCCTGTTTTCTGTTTTTGCTTGTTAGCTTTTTTCTCGATCTGATCCAGATGATCTGCATTGTTAAAAAATTAAAATGATAATTAAAAAAATCATGCTAATTTTGAATTTAAACCCTGAAAATGTAAAATAAATAAATAAATAAATAAAATTATAATAAAAATAAAACACAGGACAGACTGAAAGATTTGCAAAGCAGCTGTTTCATGAATAAAAAGTGCTTTTTAAAGCAGTCTCTTCTTTTTGTGCAACAAGTGTGACGACGACAGGAGTTCTGGACCTGATGGCTTCGTCCTGAACCAGGACTTCCTCTACGGGCTGCTGGGGAGCAGAAAGCAGGGAGTCCAAAAGTCTCACAGCTCCTCTCTGAAACAAGACGGCAGGCTCGGCTCCGTGCGCGCAGTGCACCGACTGGACATCTGCTGACACCTGAGAGAAGTCGGTAAAGAACAGTGGCAGAGGTTAGGATGTGTTTAGATTTGTCCACACTAAATACACATAAACACTTTCTGACACGGTAACTCTATGAACAAAATCGTTTTGTGGTCAGGAAAATGGAAAATAATGTCACATTTTAGCAGAAGTATTGCACTTCATTTGGATGTCATTTTCTTACAATAGAGAAAATGGTTTCCCTTAGTAGCCCTTGCAAACACGCCATTATTGTAGAGTCTACAGCTAAACATATTGTGACAAACTGTCACATAAGACATGCAAAGTTTTAAGTTGATATTTTTTGTGGTTTTGCATGGTCTGATTTTGGAGTGCATATTGATACTAAAGTCTTTTTGTGTTTAGGTTGTTCTTTCTTTATTATATAATTACTCCAAACTGACTAGAAATGGCTTTACATCTCCTGTGAAAGCAGCGATGGCATGCATTAATTTGACAGTAAATGTCAACTTCCCGGGTGTAAACAAAACGACACACTGGTCAAATCGAGTGTTTCCAATCCTGAAAAACTCTTAAAACAAACACTCCCCTTATAATTCGTACGATCATGGTTTTGAAAAGAGTGAAGAGCAGAAAGTCACACTTACTGTTGCTTTGAATGTCTTGTCTAAAATGATGTCGTCTTCTTTCCAGATTCTTATCACCTGAAAACCAAAAGAAAATAGAAGAAAAAAAATTCTAATCCTGATTGGCTATGGTTGTGTGACGCATCGCTGAAGCAGCAAAAGTTGGCACTTGACAAAAACAGTGAACTGTGTTACCTTGTTGTCCGAGACGGCCACATACTCGTTGGTCTGCTTGTTGAAGACGGCTGCACAGGTCAGAACTTGACCCTGTTTCACTGCCCAGCTGCCCAACGGCTTCTGGTCCGACACCTGCAGCAACATGCGTGACCAGCACAGAAAGAAAACACCCACAATCACGCGCTTTGACTTTGCCAAATGCAGCACAATCTGAAAGATTATGGTCGACTTTAAAGCACAACTGCAGCTGTGTTATTCACAGGATAAACGAGCTTTCATGTTGAGAGCGGCTAACATTAGCCAACATCCATCTCCTTGTCATTAGTGAGACTTTCTAAGAACCTGATGTTAGAGGGGGTTAGCTTGTTTTCACGTTAGCATCCCCGTGTAAAAGCGGTAGCGATCGAACCACCCTGGAGGTAAACGGTCCTGGTTCTGTTATTGAAAGCACAACGGGATGCTAACACGAGTCGGCACCGATCAGCTGGCGCCCAGGCTCCTGCAAAGTCTAAACTTCACCTTGTACAGAGTCACAGATCTGCTGGAGTCAGTGACGATGACATGGTCGCTGTCCCGCTCCTCCTCGATGCCCTTAATTTCAGAGCTTCGCCGATTTACAGCTGGAACAAGTCCGCACAACGTGTACCCCTCACACAGCGCTGCCATGCTGGACCACAAGAGAGTGGAGCTCGCGGAATCTCGCGAGAGCACACGAAGGGTCAAGGGGCAAACTGGCATTGCTGCATTCCAGTCGCCTGGGAAGTGAGAACTCAGATAGACGGTAATGAAGATAAAAATCTTTATGGTTGCCTATGTAAACCGGAGAAGTCGGAATGTCAACATGGCGACGCCCGTAAACGTTGTTTTGTAATAGTTTTTACAATCATAATTTAATCTTTGCTTTCCACGAGTAAATTTTCCGACTTCCGAGGGAGTTCCATCTTATCTTCCCTACCAGGAAGTCGGAATTTCCCAGCTCCCCGTGTAACTGGAACGCAGCATTTTGAACCACAAGAGGGGAATGGGGGAAAAAGGGGGGGAGGTGGGGGGGTCTCCTTTATCTTAGGAAAAGCTTAGCGCAGTGTCAACAATGTCACCAGTGAAAGTATAGTTCATCTTGACTGACATAGCGAAAGCAAGTGATGATGTTATAAGAAAATGAGAGGCTGCTTGATATGCATATTTAATTCTTATAAATGTATCAAAGCGAATGAGACGATATGTACATTAAATGATAAAATATTCCAGTTTTTTTAATAAATCTTTTTTTGTCTGTGCCACCATAAAAAAAACTATGTCCCCATCCCTTGGCTCCCCAGCCTGGTAAATTTTGTCTCACACTGTGTATGAGATTGCAGATCATATTTTTTTATTAAGCAATAAAGAATTTATTGGATATTTTTATGCCCTCAGACCGTACCACATTTCAGCTGTGACAGTTACAACAGAAATCTCAAAGGCATGTGGCCAGAATGTCACCTTGCTGACGCACCACTCAAATTAAATGAAGTTCTGCATATTACATTTGAAGTGATATGACATAAATTAAAAATAATAATAATAAAAAACAAAACAATGAAGTCTCAAACAGATTTAAATCATCTTCTTTACTTCGAAAGGCAGTGAAAATTTATGACCGCCTCCGGATAGAAAATATCTGCCACTTCAGCACTGGTCGATTTCTGATGGAAGTGAATTTGGCTTCATGGTATACACCAGCCCACTGGGTTCTGAAACAGCACACATAACAAATGTAATTACACTTTAAATAGAGAAGTAGATATTGATTTAGGTTTTCACTTTAACATTAGGTCCTGCAGAGTGTTGTCATAATAACATGCTATAAATTCAGACTGATTCTTCACATCGCTGCAGAAATAAGATGCTGGGTTTTATAGATTAATACTAACAGTAGCGTCCTATTTAATATCTGCTAAACCTCTGACTGTGATGATGAGAAAGCTTCAGTAACCCCAATTTTTTGGGGGGTTTTTTTGGAATAAAATGGCTCGTACCTTCAAAGCAGTCAGGGATGTTCAGTGTTCCATCGATGCACTGGGTCGGCACGGCATAACCACATTTCATGGCTTCGTTCATGCAGTACACAGAGACGATGTCTAGGTGTAAGACACGGTTCGGCTGGAAGTTTTCGATCCAGATTTTCTTCCCGTTGTGCAAAATTCTTGCTCTTTGTATGTTAACAGAACACGGAGCTGGAGGAAAAAAGTAAAAAATAAAGTAAAGATTAGTAAAAGTAAAGATTGATCATCTTTGTGTTATCAATTGATCAAAAATAATTAAAATGCTAAGCCAAGTTTGAAATAAAATTGCTAAAGTTTGTGATTGCAGTAAAGATGCAAACTCAAAGAAAACCTGATTAGACTCTGAAGAAGAAAACAGCGATTTTTATTCTGCACATTTGTATTTTAATGTTTTATATTTTCTGATTTCCTGCAGAGTTACCTTTGCAAGATGGCTTTTCAGACCACCTTCCATTCTCCTGGCAGACCACCTCCATATTTCCTTCCAGCACATACAGACTCTCGCAGCCATACTTGACTTTTTCCCTGTAGAAAAACTCCCTCTTCTCATTGTTGGACATGTAGCCTCTTTCAATGCTCTCTGGCGGAGGGCAGGTCACCACTGGGAAAAAACACGTTCAATTACTCTTATAAATGTAAATAAAATTTCATAAACTTTGAATGCAATCGGGTTGTACTAAAATCAACCAAGCTGAGCCACATTTTACCACCTTCTCCTACCTTGACACTCTGGTGTCTTGGTCCAGGTACCGCTGGCGGTGCACTCTGCAACCGGGTTGCCGAAAAGTACGTACGGGGGATTGCAGATATACATCGCCGTGAGGCCATAATTGACCGTGTTTCCTTTGATCATTTTGTTGTAAATGACCATTCCATACGGTGGGACTGGAGCGAGACCACAGCGTACAGCTACCAAGACAAAAACAACGACAAAACCCCATCAATTTCACATTCTTTACATCTTTTGAATAAAACATTTTAAAAAATTTTATATGAACATGCAGTCAAAATCTATGTAAAAAAAAAAAAAAAAAAGAAAAGAAAAGGTGGGTCACATTTGGCCTTGTGGGAGCATTAGTATTAGTGTCCTTGTAGCAAATTTGCTGGGTAATTTGCACAGCCATTTTGAAAATATCACAGGGGGGCTTTTTTGTTGCGAGATACTTATTCACCTTGCTCTCAGCTGTATTTGTTTGCTGGAATGAGATAAAAGTCTCAAATGAAATACCTTCGACATGCTGTACCTTGTCTCTTCCTATAACTACAGTCCTAAAGGTTACATTAATGTCTGTTGTGTGACTGAAAGACAGGGGAACAATAGTGCATTTGCTTTGGTAAAACATCTTTGCAGAACATTTACAAATTTGGTTCACATATTCCAAAATCGTACTCTGTTTTTGAGATACTGTATGCTGATTATTTCACAAAACTAACCTCTTAATTTTTTATATTTTTTTTAGATTAACCTTTTCAGTGTTCAAAAAATTTTATTTCCGGACTTGTTCCAAATCTTCAGTCATACGCAAAATTCTTCTGATTTAAAGCTATAAAACAGACATATGTTGCTTTTTGTCATTTAGAAACATCTTAAAAAAGACCTACAGTGCAGTTTTACTGTAGTTTATTTTCTGCATTCAAATCCTCAACACACCCCTAAATGCATTAGATGAAGTGAAATGACATTAAATAATTACATACGTATGCACTCTGGTGCAGGGGAACTCCATGTCCCGTTGGATTGGCACACTGCTGAACTCTCTCCAGTCATCATGTACCTGTTCAATGAGATATTTAATAAACTGGGTAAAAGTATTTAAAAAAAACTTAAAAAAAGAAATAACAAAGCTTTTTTATGTACAATTTATGATATATAATATAGGCACACACAACATAAAACATGTTTTTCTTTTTGTTCACCCTTCATGGCAGGTGTAGTTGATGGTACTCTGGTACACTGTGTCCTCATAAAACAGTTTACCATTAGTGATTAGTTCAGGATATGGACATTGTTTTGCTGCAGGAGAAAAGATGAAAGGAGGTTATGTTCGACTTAGCGGTCAGTTATTATTGATGCAAACAGCTAAATGTAAGTTTACTTGTGTGAGGCATAAAATTACGCAATTCACAATACAGTTGCAAGTAGTGACTTATAATCCTGTTTGTGTAGTGAACCCATTCTAATATTTAAACCTTCCCACTTTTTGTCACTTTACAAGCACAGACTGCTGTGATTTTACTGGGATTTTATGTGCACTAAAACAACACGAATATTTAAGTGGTTCAGATCAAAGCATGCTGATTTCTTAGAGTGGTCTAGTCAAAGTCCAGACCTAAATCTTATTGATAATCTGTGGCAAGACGTGGTGAAATGATGACGAAATCTGTCTTAAATTGAGTTATTCTTTAAAAGAAAAAAAAAAGGTAAAATTGTTAGATAAATCTTGGTCCAAAACACTGAAACTCTGGGTTTCAGTGAAGGAGTTTTTAAATGCTTCTTCATAGCACTATAAGTAAATATTTAATATTTTCCTCGACATTTGCAAACTTGCAGTTCCTAATATGCATATTTCCAAGTGAAAACTCTTGAGTATACTAACACTATGGAATATTTCATCTGTTTACTTCAAAATGTCTGTGAATTTTATTTCACTGGCAATTACAAGAATTATTACAAGACATTTCTGCCATAACTAATAGAAAGTTAATAAGACACGCACGTATGCACTTTAGCTTGGTGCTTGTCCACGCGCCGCTGATGGTGCAAACAATCTTGCGTGGGCCCAACACAGGAGTATATCCCTCTTTACAGGAGAGGGCCAACTCCTCACCGGGACTGGAGAACCTCTGGATCCCAGACATCTCAATGTTCCCGCTCAGCTCAGGTCGGGAGCAAACTGGAATTAGTCGATTATTTCAATGAAAGTTGCATATCGGCCTAAATCTAGTAAGCTTAGGTGAGAAACAACCTAGCATGTTGACATTTTCCAACTATATCAGTGGAGATTAACAGATGTCCAAAATTCTTTATATACAAAGCAATATTAAATGTTATGTCACACTTTTTGCCCCCTCAAATTACTATTGACAGAACAAAACAACTGTTTGACCACAAAATGTTTTCATGGCTGTCGATCAACACAAGCGATGAAATGTTTCGACAAAGATCCATAACAAAAGTTGAAATCCTTGAAAACAAACTTTTCATTCTAGGATGTGTGAAATGAAAAGAAGTCATACCATTCTGGGATGTCACTGTCGTCACAAGCAGACCAGAGCACAGCAGAAACAAGCGCTCCATCTTCTGAAGAGGTGGACGGACAATCTCCTTCTCGCCTGCAGCCTGCCTGGGGCTTCGGACTCTTTGCCCCACTTTCAGCTGTTTGTGTTTCTCTCAAGGTAAACAGACAGAGCAGCGTGAAGCAACTCCTTCAATAAGAGTTTGGAATCCTTTCAAATGTTTCCAGGAAGTCACAGAGATAAAAAAAAAAAAAGCTCAGATGTTGAAATTCCAACACAAAAACTTACGCAACCCCTCCGCCCCTGTCTTTGTGGCCTTTTTTTCCCCCCTTCCTTTTAAAAACTTTTTTATGTCAGACTGATGTTAAATTGTGAATTGAATTTAAAGTCAAAAGCTCTGACCATCCCGTTTCATGCGAAAGAATTCAATTCCAGTCAAATGTTTTTGCTGTCATGCCACAGAGATTATCCTGCTGATTCCAGGAGTTCATCCCCGACACACTCACTCGGCGCCATCTTTAAAGGCCACAGCATAGACATGAATACATAGATGAATATGGCAGGCAGTTTCACCTGAAATCTGATTTTGTCTGACTCTCAGTAGTGACGTTCTAGGTATCTAAAAATGCATTTTCACTTGACAAAGCTATCTGGAGTGGTAATTTAAGATATATTCAATTGCATGTAAACACCTTTGTTCTGCCATTAAGCTGTCCAGAGAGTTGCCTGCAGAAAGTTTGGCAATGTGTGATATATAGTGAACTGCTTCAGAAATCTGCATATAATTTTCAGTTTATTCACTCCTGAAAAACACAAGCAACTTATAAAAGGTTTTGAAAAGTTATTTATATGATTAGCATAATAATTACATTTGCTCTTTCTTATTATTTATGTCAATTTGTTTTTATACAAGTGATACTATTATTAAAATCACTTTTATTAAAATCTTCATAATCACAGTTTGTTTCTATGTTTAATAGAATTCAGTATCAGGTAAGCCAGAGCATTTCTTCGTCTTTCCTGTTAATGACAGTCCTGTCTGGAATAGTTGTGCTAATTCGTCCATGGGCCACACCATTTATTTTGTCCATTTCAGGGTGGGAAAGTCTATCATTATTCTTTGAAAACTGTAATAGCTGGCGTCGCCAGAGCTCCCGCAGTCGCCTGGAGTCCGGAGCGTCGCTGCGCTGCCAGGGCCGTTCGAGGCTGCTTGCAGCTTTCATTTTGGTATGAATTTATCATGGTGCATGCTAATGAAAAACATAAATGAACTGGATTATTTGGAAACAAGCCTGTATGTGTGCATTGAACTGAAATGTACTTTACAACCACTTTGCATTAGATGTTCACAGCTTCCATTTCTTTCAACATTTGATGAATGCACATTTTCTTGGTTTGTTTTAGTCATCTTGCATTTATTTATTTATTGCCAGTCTAACTGAACAGAAAACAAAAGCAGGGAATATTAGGAAGGCGGTCATGTCTTCCCCAGTTCGTGGCGCCGTAAGTTGCTCATGCAGGGCTTGGGGGTCTCGTTGGGTTTGCGGCGGGTGGTGCCACGCACGATCTGATCTCTGACGGAAGGTTCTTAGACCTTAGGTTGTACTCGATTTTGCCCGGTTCTATAAGTCAAAGAGAAGAAACGCAAGACAAACACAGAAGCATTCTGCTGTTATCAAGGGGATGAAACATCTCTAGGACATTCGAAGAAGCTGTTTCCACTGGTTCCATTGCCAGTCGACTGGAGCAGTTTTAAGTAGTGCTTATCCAGCTGGGATTGACTCACGTTCGTAGCAGTCTGGGATGGGGAGGTTTCCGTCGTTACAGGTGCTGGTCACGGGGTAGCCACACTTTTCAGCTTTGTCCTTGCAATAGAAGGCAACATGCTCGCCATGGAGCACTCTGTTTGGCCTCAGGTCTTCAATCCAGATCTTCCTGGCGTTGTAGAAGATGCGCCCTCTTTTGATTCCAACTTCGCAGGGAGCTGGGTTAAAAACAAACAAAAAAGTTAAATATTTTCACCTGACAGAGAACACTCTCATTTTTATGAGATATATTAAAACAAAACAACAAAAAACAGCAGTGTTTTGCAGGTGAATGTTTTTTCCACAGACAAAAACATCCGAGACATTCTAGCATAGGAGTCTCTTTCGAGCAGAGTTTGATAAATATAGATTTGAGGCCTGAAGTGAGATCTAATTTTCTCATGACTCACCCCTGCAGACTGGCTTTGATGACCAGTTTCCAGTGTTTTGGCACTGGATCTCAGCCTCACCCTCCATGGTATAATGCTCGTTGCAGGAATACTTAACCTTCTCCTTGTACCCGTGTTGCCTCATCACGGCAAACGTGATGACGCCATTTGGTATGCTTGGAGGAATGGAGCAGCTCACATCTGTAACGACAATAACGAGGATGATTTCATTAGAAGGGTGGGATTTTGTATTTTCCAGGCTTATTGTGACATTTTATAGCACAATCAAGTGCAAGATTAAGCCAAGTTAAAAGAAATTTGAATTCAATGCCATGAAATTGGGCCTCTGTCTCTTTAAGAACTTTGTGAAGCTAGTAAATCTTGCATGCAATACCATATTCAGACATCCTAAGCCTGGATTTACCTCGACAAACCGGAGGTTCGGTCGCGGTGCCATCAGCCATGCAGGAGCCTCTCTCGTGACTCGGTGCTTTGGGTGGGTTGCACTCGTACGTCCAGCCTTGTCCATAAATTGTAGACGTTCCTGTAACGGGCTTGTCGTGGACAATCCTTCCCTCTCTTGGTGGCTTGGGCAGAGGACAGTTCACGCCTGCGGGATCACAATCAGAACTTGATATGGGGACATCCATGTCACGAGTGAAAAACATTGAAATAAGTTCTGAAAATTTGAAATCTGTTTGGCCTTTTGTTGCCGTGGTGTTCCTCAGGGCTCAGTCATTGGGGCTGCTCTTTTCTCTCTTGACAAATTTTGAAATATATTCATATTGGCATCAATTATCAAGCAGGGGATTCGCAAATGTACAGACCCTTTGCAATGAGTCGAAGAAAATCGGTAGATAGAGTGGCCTATCACAAGAAAACAAATAGTTCTAGTCCAAGTCTTTGAAAACGTCTTCTGTCTTTAGAATCATTGACTCCAGTATAACTTTCACACCTTTGTAAATATCCTTCAAACTGTTAAATGGGGATTTAAAAAAAATAAAAGTATTAGTTGATTAATTTCTCAGTAGTCAAGTTTGTGTAACACATTTCTGCCACAGGGCAGTTAAAAGTCCTTTAAACCATAAAAACATGATACAGGATTCAATTATTCGACGAGCAATAAACGCTACATTTTGTCAAACGTCAACGTCAAAATCATCATCAAAAATGTTGCTCAGTTTTCCACTTACTTGGAATCAAAGTCACCTCTAACAAGGCCGGGGTTTTTAGCCTCGATTTAAAGGAACTCAGTTTTTCAGCAGTCATGCAGTTTTCTGAAAGTTGGTCCTGGATTTGTGGTCGATTTAAAAACTGACCCCTGCTCCTCCGTTACACTCGATCTCATTTTATAGGAACGTGTGAAGCCGCTTTGTTCAATCTGGGCCTTTTTCAAACAAGGTCGGCAGGGTCCGGTTAACCTGTTTTACCTTTGCAGAGAGGAGGTGGGTGACTCCAGGTGCCATCGTGCAAGCACCTGCTTTCATTAGCCCCCAACATCACGTACCTGAATAATGACAAACACGCATTTCTGTAACAATCTGCAATCACAACGTAGGAGGATTTATATATATTTTGTGTTCTTACCCGTCATCGCATGAGAAGTTGAGCACGCTCTTAAAAGGAGCCTCTGTCCTGCCTTTGGCAAATGGCTGCAAAGGCCTGGGTATCTGGCACATCTTGGCTGCAGAAAAGAAAACCACCACCTCTATTAGATGTCTTCATGACTTAACAAAAACTCATCCTGCAAGATCATCATCAAGTTTTAGGAATCCCATCATGATTGCTTTTGTGGTTTGTTACACAAGACAGCGTTTGGACTTCACCAATTCGCTTCCCGCTCGCTGTTTTGAAGCTCTGTCTGATGCCAGCCATGGGATTTAAAAAACCCCAAAACAAACAAACAAACAAACCAGGAGCCGCGCGGCCTCGACTCACGGGAACACGCCAGGTTCGCCGGCGTCCATTCCCCTGTCGCCGTGCAGGTTATCCTGGGAGGCGTCGCCGTTGAAGGCGAGTAGCCCCGCTCGCACGAGAGGCTCACGTCTTCTCCGATCTCAAACACGCGCTTCAGGGAGGAAACGTCGACGCCATCGGAGACGCGAGGCCGGCCACAAACTGGCGGGAGAAAGAGGGAGGAGAGTGACGCCGAGCAGGTGAAGTTTCAACTTGAGCTCGAGTTGCACGTTTGCAAACGTGCCTTTTGCGGGCGTTACGGTCGTAAGTGCGGCTGCCAGGCTGAGAAGCAGCAAAGTGGGAGCCATCTTCTCTGGAGGTGAGATCCGCTCTGCGTTCCCCCGCCAGCCGCTGGATGGGAACCTTTTTGGGTTCTGGCTGCAGAGATGGCCTCCTCCAATCAGATGCAACCCTCCCACCGCTATTGATCAGGCACAAAGTTCACATGCCTAATCAGATACGTGCATGCAGACGTGTTTGACTAAAGCAGATACATAATCACGATCTGGCAGAGGAGCAAGCAGACAGATGAAATCATGTGAAATTGTCCCCGTGTCGCTCTGTGTGTGTCGTTTCTAAATATTTGTGAAACGAGGGAGAGGACTCTCCATGTCAGTCAACTTAGTGGTAATCCGAGTCAATAAACGAAACACAAACTGAGTTTATTGGTGCAGCACATTGAAGAAAAAATAAAATAAAATAAATAAATAAAGCTTAGAAAAAAGCTATACAAAAACGTTTTCAATTAAGGTTAAAACTCAGTTAACAGTATGGTACAAAGATAATTTTTCTGGTGTCATGAAACTCCCTCCAGGGGTTGTGCATAAATTACTGATCGACTTATCAATCTGTTAGACAATGCACTTCTTCTCTTGCTTCTGCTTTTGTTCATTTGGGAAATGCAAATTTCACCTTGTTGGCAAAAAGGAGAAAGAGAGACAGAAAAAAAACCCTAAACGTACTTATATTTATTTCAAAATTCCCAAACTATTTGGAGAAGCGTTACTAAACTTGGGTTATGTAGGCCTATACCAAGATGCAAATTTAACCAGTGAAACAAAAACAAAAGAAAATTGGGTGTGGCCGATAAGAAACGCCTCTAGGGGCGCTTTGCTTGAGGGGGCGCCCAATCGAAATTCTTCCTGGTCAGCATTTTCTGTACCTTAACAGCTATTTGTGTGAATGATGCGATGTATTACGGAAGCGCCTTATTTTAACATATTTGTATCACCTTTTGAAAGATTTTCCCATATAATCTCCAATCAGAAACATTAGTTGAATTTTTTTGTTGTTGTTTTGTTGCAAAGCTCCAGGTTTAAGGGAAACAGACATCCAGGCTCGCTCTTCACAGTCGAAGCCTGAACCATGAAGTGCACTTCAGTAAAGTGCGATGGATCTGTTTACTTTCCAGTCAAAGCTCACGGTTCCCTTCCTTTCATTTGGCCTCAGCTCAAAACGCTGCTGTAACTTGACTGACATGTAGTTGTGGTAGAACTGCACGATGCTCAGGGCTTCAGCATATTCCCATAAAAAAACTAAACTAAAGAAGCAGTGAGAAATATTCCAAACACTTTTTCACACGAAGATATAAATAAATAAATAAATAAATAAATAAATAAATAAATAAATAAATAAATAAATAAATAAAAGAGGAAGAGGTGGGTTCTGTTTTCTGTTTTGGTGGGGAAAAGCAAAAGGCGTTCTTATCCACAGGACAGATGGAAGAAGCCGGCGCGCTCACTTCGACGTTTTTCTTATTGACGTCACGCGTGTCAGGGCGTGCAACGCCGCGTTTTCCCCGCACGGTGACGCCTCCAGCCTCGGTTCGTCCAGCCGGACCCAGGGCCTCCTCCCTCCCACGGCGGATCCTGTTGCGTGACATCAGCCCGAGCGAGAAAAGGAGGAAGAGCAGCGGGGAAGAGTCAAGTCACGCAGAAGCGCACAAGTCCACGAGCGGAAATTGGTTTTTCAAAATAAACCGAAAACGTCTATTAGAGAAAAAAACCCCAAACAAACAAACTAAAGAAAACAAAACAGAAAGTTTGTGAAAATTGAGAGAGGGCCAGAAAACAGCTGAAGTTGCTCAGTTCACATGCAAATAGGTGGGTTTTCACCTATTTAGATGTTTATTTAGATTAGAGCTCAAAGGTTGCTCTGTTGTGCTTTTCATGTTTTGTATTTCAGAGGATTTATTTATTTATTTTATCAAAGCAGGAAGATTAAAAGCTGCAGAGATGAAGGCTAACACACAAACCTGGACCTCAAAGGTGTTTAAATATGGATTCATTGAAACCCACCGTGCTGCATTAGACTTTAACATCTGATTAAATAATGCATTTTTACAGGATCAAATTTATCAGTTGAACCATCCGAGTTCCTCCCTTAATGAGGTTCCAGCAAAAATTCACGCACAAATAACTAAGAAATTATTTCTTATTAAGCACATATTTTTTCATTTTCTTAAGGAAGTTGAGCAAATTAAATGAACAATAATTTTATACATTGCAAATGATAGCTATATATCTCCATCAATTATAGGAGGAACAAAAGAAATAAGGACATGACAAACAACATGGTCGACTATAATAAAAACACCAGTTGCAATGCATACGTAAGAAATTTAATGAGCAAAAGTAATTAAAAAACAGATGAATGAGGTACAGAAAAATAACAACCCAGGTTGTTACAACCAGGGTTGTTAAACAGATACAAGCAAAATTTTTCTTTTTACGGTGACATGTGTGTTACTCTGAGAGACTTTTTGTTGGTAGAGTCTCATAAAAAGTAAGATGAAAGTATTTAGTCTATCAACATTGACATGTTCCTTCGACTCTAAAGCAATAAAACAAATCGTATTCATGGAATCACATGATCGACAATTTGTGACTAGAGTCAAACACTCAGCAAGCGATAGGTAAATGTTACCGTTTAGTTCAGTTAAGAATAGTTATTGCACTGTCAATAAATGACTTCTAATAGACGTTTTTAGTTACCAGAGGAAAACGGTAAGGCCTCCATGAGCTCACAGGTTCAAAATGATGAATAAAGAGGATGGATGCTCTCTGCTAAAATAAAATTTCTTGCCGTCTTTCAGCAAACAGTCGAGGCCGAGTTGTTTTTTGGTTTCACCACCATGCACCTGCTGTTATACATGCCATAGAAAGCATTCTTAAAAGATTGCCTGTTAGTTTGCAGCTCATGTGACCAGCCGAGGAGGTGAACAGCTAAAACTTCGGTTAAGATGGTGTTTCAACTTCAGTTGAGTTAAAACTCTAGTCAAGAGTGTTAAGTTTTAACATTTTAACTCAACACCCTCTGCCCAACTACAGGTTGTTAAGTAGTTTATTAGTTGTCATTAGGTCTTCTTATAAGATAAAGTCTAACAGTTCTTAAAGATACAGTGTTTTCAGCAAAGTTGAGCTGACTGTTCAGGAATGACACCAGGGATTTCAAATTTGCCACAGTTTCAACAGTGGCAAGTAAAACTGCAATCACTTTCAGGTCTTGTTTATCGCATTTAATTAGCTCTACTTCCTTAAGAAAATGAAAAGGTATGTTCTTTTGTGAGGGAATGTATATTTTGTGGTTCCAGTAATGCCAGAATTAATAATAAATAAAGACTTTGTGGTATTCTGATTTAGTGATGTAATTAGATTCGTTGTGTTACCACCCCCGCGCCACTAGAGGCAGTAGCAGAGCCGAAAACTACAGAATTTGTTCAAAACTGTGAGCTGCGCTGAAGTAAATAAGAGAGAGAGAAGTTCAAATCCATACTGAGAGTGAAAAACCTTCCTAAAGGCGAAGATATATCACAGCTTTCAAAAGAAAATAAAAATGGGAGGCCTCGGACAATACAGGAAATAGCGCCACCTAAACTTCCGGAGTGCAACGGTCCCATTTCCAAACAAAGTGGTCCGTCCCAGGCCCTTTCTGGTTTGCTGCAGATGTACTTGGAAAAAATGTGTGTAGTACTATTTGCCACGCATGGGGGCGCCACATTATGGTAAAAAAATCTTTCTATTAACATTTTCTGTATTTACAGTTGTCAGTGTAAAATGATGTGATGCATAACAGACACAGCCCTATAGTGTTGGCAGGAAATGTAAAAGGGTTACATTTATCCAAATCTTGTTGGAACCGGTTGGAGCTGCCAATAATTTTAGGGAAACCGATTTGTTTCTTGTAACTTTAAAGAAAATAAAGTGCCTTTGATTTGAAAGGACTCGGAGGAAGCAGGAAGTCTCACTGCTGCCGCCTTGACTGACCCGCGCTGTCAGTGTCAGCGGAGCAGCGAGAGGCAGGGAAATCCCTCAGACCCAGTAGGTCCAGTGTCTCCAGTCAGGCTCGGCACTGACAGGCGCAGACCGCTCAGTTCGCACCGAGGAACGAGCCCCGACACAGCAGGGAGCTTTTGCATTGATTTGTGTTTTATATATAGGCTATATACTTATATATACATAGAGAAAGAGAGAGAGAGAAACAGAGAGGAGGGACGCGATGGCAGATGCAAGTTTTAACGAGTCGTCCACCGCGGACGTAGCGAACAGGTTTGCTCGGAAAGGTGCTCTGAGGCAAAAGAACGTCCACGAAGTGAAGGACCACAAATTCATCGCCAGGTTCTTCAAGCAGCCGACTTTCTGCAGCCACTGCACAGACTTCATCTGGTAAGCCCCTGTTGCTCCGTCTCCCACCTCCATCCCGCCTGTTGCGCGAATATCGAATAACTTGAGTCGAGTCCTTCTCGACTTCTCGCTCGGTGTGATGCAACTTCTGGCGGGTCGCGACACCTTTCCAAACCCGCAAAAAAAAAAAAAAAAAAAAAAAAAAAAAAAAAAAAAAAAAAAAAACACTTTCCAACGTGCTGGGGAATTGCTTGGGATCTATTTCTTCATTTATTTGTTTTTCGCCCTACTATTGAATGGGAGGAGTTGTTGCTCTCTCTCTCCCTCTCTCCACCTCTACGGGAGTCGTGCAACAAACATGACTTCACGAAAGCTTCCTTTGCATTAGACTTCACTCCCCTCCTTATCTCCATTCCTGAACAAACGACCTCAACGCAGCTCCTGTGATTTTGACCTCGGTCAAGCATTTAGGACGACGAACATGCAGCCACACCATGCGTGCATTGCACACAGTGCAACCACTGACGCCGCTGATATTGAATGGAGATTTTTTTTTTTTTTTTCCCTTTTTCCCCTTTTGAACTTGTAGAATCAGGCCCACGTGTAAAGCTCCATGTGTTCATGTTGCACATTCCTGCCTTTTTAGTGGAACACTTGAACTAGACAAATCACTTTGGGTTCTCAGTTAAGAACTTAAAAAAGAAAAGTATGTCGCTGAAGGCACGCCCACGTTTAAAGTACTATGCTCTTTAAGGTGTGTGTGTGTGCGCGTGTGTGTGATCTCATGCCTTTAATGCAGTGAGTGTGTCGTTGGCAGGCATACATGTGCCACTCCTTTTGAGTTCATCATGCTGGCGATATGATTCAAAATGTGAAATCAAACAACTCTATTTTGAAAGGGAAAGCTCCCATCGTTACACACGCACACACACCTACACACACCTACACACACACACAAACGGAGGGAAGAAGCGGGCCAGGAAGCCTGTGCAGACATGCACCTACAAGTCTTTATGTGCTTGTGGGACAATGAAGTACAAACCATTTGCATTTAACAATGTGATTATTAACCACGATCTTAAAAAAATATATATATGTGTATATACACACACACACACACACATATATATATATGTGTGTATGTGCTATCATACATACATACAGATTTTTATTAACTTTTTCAAATTTCTCAAGAAGAAACCTTAAAAAAACATCAAACTTCTGTAAAGCTCCTGATTTAACAGCCGTGTCCTTGGAATGAATGTGGTGTGAATGCGCCCATGTGTGAATGAATACGTTATTCAGTGTGTTTTAAACTGTAAGAGCCATTCAAATCTGTCTCCTCTCTTTTTCACAGGGGGTTTGGAAAGCAAGGATTCCAGTGCCAAGGTAAAAACTCACTGTTTGTATCTCGCGCGTGCGTGTGTGCGTGCGTGTGTATGTGCGTGCGCGCGTGTGTGTGAGCGTGCGTGTGTGTGAGCGTGTGTGTGCGTGAAACGTTTAGGCTTTGAACTTGTTGCTGTCTGTTTTGAATTCAGGCTCCTTGTCCATACATTTGGACTTGTTCTTTTTGATGGTTTTCTACTTTGTTTCAAGCTACTTTGGCAAAAGGAAGTGTGAATATCTGGTGGTAATGCGAGTGTGAGTTTGTTTTTCTTTGTTGTTACCTTGTTAAAAAACAGAAAAGAAGAAGAATAGGGTCAGAGCTGAATTGGGCCTAAGTTAGTCAGATTTTCCAGCACCGCACTAAGATCCAGATGCTGATTGTTTTCAGTCAGATATTAGTCACGTGACCTTTGAGAACTCGTGCATTTGCTTGTATTTTGTGTTGAGCTGTGTCCGGTTGATCATGAGAGGAACTGGAATTGAATTAGTTTTTAAATAACCAGGAGTGTCATGCAGAAGGGAACCTTCATCAAAACAGTAAGTATTTCTGAAGAAATCTTTATCAAAGGAAAGAAATGGGTGTTTTGTTTCGGCAACAAACCAAAAGATGAGACGGTTAAAACAGTGGGATGGAAAAAGTGAAATGGAAGGAAGAAATACAGTAAAGCTGGAAAGTTTCCTCACCACCACCCGCGTCCTTAGAGCTGGGTTTTACGTCAGCTTAAGTACGCTAAACCTCAGAAGTATTTATCTAATGTGGAAATCCGTAGGCTCGCCAAAATCAGAGTCCGCCTGGAAGTGTCCCCAGCTGAATCACTTACTGTACTTATAAATAATTTTAGTTGAGAGGAATGAGCTTCTAATATTAAATCAGTAACATCTGTCATTTTTCTCATCCTTAAAGATTACTAGTCAATATTTTATCCTTTAAAAAAACCCAACAACATTATAGTGAGAGTATAGTTACATTTTCAGGCTCAACAGGAAGTATGCTTTTCAAAATAAGAAAATAAAAAATCACAATAAAGCTGAACTGAACTAATATTAACCTTACTTACTAAATATTACAAAATTAAAGGCAAAAACATTGCACAAATAACATATTTTCTATTCATGGTTCTAACGCAATCCTTCAACTTCTGTCATAAATGTCATAAATTCAGCTTCCAAAAAGCTGAACTTATGAAAGAAAGGAAGGCCAAATAGTCTCAATTCATCCAGCTGACCAGCAGTGTGGAGCAACAACCTCTTTATGGAATGATTCGTGAATGCTTTCATTTAAAAACGTTTTCTCTTGAAGACAAAGCGAAATTAAAAACTTTGGACGCCAGCGATTCGCAATCAGCGTTTTTCGGAACGAAAGCGAGCGAGACACCTAAAGACATCCAATCGTCCGCTCATCGCAGACGCGTCGCCTCCGAGGACACGCGTCGTGTCCTCGGAGGCAAGCGTCGTGGAAATGGAATTGCAAATTAGCATGCCTATTAGCCCGTGCGAACATTTAAATGTGACTTTTTTTTTTTCTCCCCCGAGGCTTGACTGTTAACAACCCGACGCCCACGCCTCCGTGTGATCGGCTCTCACAGAAACAGAGAAGCGACCTTCCACTTGAAACCAGTCATGAATCGGTCTGAGGTGTTTAGAGTGTTGATAAACCAGCATGTTTTCTTTTTTCTCCCCCCCCCACAACAACCTGACATTGTCGTCAGCGCGTTCCTGAGCCCACTCCTCTGCTTTCACAGTTAGTTCTCTCCGTCACAACCGCAGCTTTCGCCACCACAAACAAGAGTTTCTGGAAGGACGGCGTTTTTAAAGGAGCGGACTCAAGAGATGCTTTTCCTTTTACCTTCGACACTAATGCACCAGCGATGACCGTTTCTCTCTCTTTTTCTACCTCTCTGCTCTCCCTTTCCCCCCTCGTATCATAAATCAATGCCCTGACCTGTTGCATAAATAATAATCCTGCCTTATCGAGATGAAGGTGATTAGTTACACTGCAGCTATTCGAAGAGAGAAAGGTCCCTGTTTTATAACGTGTGCTAGGCTATCAAATATTAAACTTACGATCCCATAAAACGAGGGTCAGGTTCTCCAGCAGAGTCGGCCTCTTAGTCACCGCTTGAATGACAAAGTGATACTGGAGAGACGGAGAGTGGCATTTCTATAACTACAGTGACATTTAATTTTCAGCCTTGCAAATGTCTCTTTCCCGAGAATAGGCCGATGTGAGCAGTAATACACTATTCAGTGAGTTTTACATTGGAGTTAAATGAATGTGGCGCTTCTGAAAGAAATGCCGAAGCGATGAATTCATCTCTTGGTTTAATAATGGGAAATAGGGCCTGAGTGATAAATCGACTTGGTCGATTTATCAGTATTTCTTTTTTTAGTTTCTGAAGGAAAATCTTTTTTTTTTTTCAGTGAACTCTTTTGGTTACCATAGTTTCTGGGAGGCCATCTTGTTTCACAAGCGTGTTTTACAGCCTCTTATCTGGACTTTGAATTCAGGGCAGCTCTAGACGAATGTTAGGACCAGGTTTTTTTTTTCTTCAAAATTATGAGATTAAAAAGTCACGCTATTACACAAATAAAGTTGCAATAAAAGAAGAATAAAGTCGTGTGAACTCCCACAACAACAATAAAAGCAATAGTATTACTCAATCTTTTAGCAAATAAGTATGAAATTATTATCAGTTTAAACGACTGTGAAAACAACTGTTTATTTCAAAGAAAGAATCATGTGAATTGATTGAGTCATGTCTGATTTAAAAAATATATATTTTTTTACAATAAATTAACTTCTTTCTCGTAATTTAAAGATGTTTTTTTTCTAGTAAGATTGCGACTTCTTTCCTGCCAATATTATGACTATATCTTCATAATTTAATAAAAACCGTCATCGTCTGACACTGATACTCCACCGTTCTAATCACAGAAGGGAGGCTTGACATAAAAGACACTTTTTGAAAGTACTTTTTAGAAAAGAAGGCGAGCGAATAGCAGAAATCAAAGTTTTGGTATGAAAAAAATCTAGAGTTATCTATTCTACTATATGCCGAGGTTTGACATGCAATCCACAGAAGCACTTTACATGTTATTTTGGGCATTTTTAAGTTCATGTGATCAAGTTGAACCCGACTGTAACATGTCATGCAAACTGTAACAAATTGATCGGTAAAGTAACTGGCGGAACGGACTGATTACGGATGTAAACAACCTTAATGAGGCGTCAGTAACGTGGTTGTAGATTAAGCTGCCGCTGGCTGTCATGATGCTGTCGGAAAGAAAAAAAAAGGTTCAGCTACAGCATCACAAAAAGCACAGAAACGGCAGCATAATAAACAACAACAACCTCTAAAATGATCGACACCCCCAGCAAAAATGTGCGAAAAGCCTTAAGGTGAACACAAAGTTTCACAATAATCCATGCATATTGCTTTGCCAAGAAATTACCACTTAGTCTTCTCCGTATGACACAGCACAAGGTTTTTAGCAAGCAGGTGGAGAGAAATGGTGGAAGATTCCTCTTTCAATAATCTCTCTAGATCCCTCAGGGAAATGAGAAATCCATAAACCAGGACGTGTGTAGAGAAGCACACACGTTCTGATTTTACCATGAATTTTGGTTCGTTGTGTTGAAAGTGTTGATTTACAGAGGCCCAAAGATTTTTATAGAAAATGTGCAGATATTTTAAAGAGTCCACAATGTTGTGTTCCCAGAGGCTTTGGGGGGCCCACATCACCACAGATCCTTTATCGTGCTCACCAGTAAAGTGCTTTCCTGTAATAGAACCTGCAGGACATCATGGAGTGTTTATTCTCAGTAAGCTCAGGTTTAGGATCTTCTAATCAAAGCTCAGAGTTTGAGTGAAAGTCACAGGCAATATTCAGCAAACTGTCTTTGGGCTTTAGGATATTTTCTCGTCCTCATGATTTGTGATGGCATGATAAACATCTTCTGTCAAGGCTGGCAGCTGTTTTCCTGTTGTCTTTTCCTGTGTTATAAAATTGCTTGAAAGCCATGTTCACTTTTGCTACCCCTTTTTGGAGAATGATTAAGAGAACCAGGCTTTTGTTTCGTGTGATTTGCACAACCAGGAGAACGAGAACTTCATGGACTGCTAATTTAGTAGCTCAGGCTAATAAAGAAAATGCTTTAGTTACATTTTCTTTAGAGAAATTAAGGGTGCCTGTAAATTATGGGATAATCTGTGTGTGATTCGGTTGTAAAGCTTTTTACCAATCTTTGCTAGAGATGCCAATAAGTACAGCTGGTTTCCTAACTCTTCCACATGACTCTTAAAATAAAAATGTCGCAGTGAATTTATTGTTGTGGAAACAAACCAGCGAGCAGCGGCGTTTGGAGATCGTATCTGCGCCCTGAGCGTCCGCCGTAACATTTGCAGCGGAGTCTTGTTTCAAGCGCCCGGCCTGTTGTGCTTGTGCGGCAGGATGTCTCCAATCACCATTTAGACGGTGATGTAATACGGCCCGGCAATTTGTCCTCATGTCACTCAGCTGATTTACCATTCAAATCTTGTTGAGATCGCACCACGTCTGTGGAGACCTTGGAAGTTGGGGCTGTTTGGGGACCCAGACAAGGGGACGCAGGGGATTTCCATTGAGTTTTTATTACTTGGTTTTATCAGAGTTTAATCCACTGGAGTTAATCCTGTTCTGTGACCTGAATCATATTCAGTCAGCTAAATGTATTCATAAGCAAGCTGCAGCATTCAGCTGGGCCCAAGTTTTCACTGGGTCAAGTGCTCTCCTTGTGGGCGTCCGTAGTCTATACTTACTGAGTTAATACGTGAGGGCATTCACTTCCTGAGCAAGATATTTTTTTATTTTTTCTCCTCACCCACTCCTTTGCTGATTTACGTTTTAAAGGACACTGTAGATTTTGTTATTTAAGAGATAAATTTAAGAACTCGTGTTTTATTTGCAACGTAAAACAGTTGTGACCCTTGAATTTGATGCTTCTGATCAGCCCGTCTTGATCC